ATTTCGTGCGTGCACATCAAATACCAGAAAGTTTACCATAAGAGTACACGCAAATTTCAAGTCACTATAATTTTTCAAAAAACCCGTGAATTGATTTAAAATTTTGCAGGTAGCTTTTTAATAGTAATAGGAATGTATAATAACAAGTTCAACATGGTAGCATTGTTTAAGTGTATGGGCTATACATCCTTAAGCCGCCTCCTCTTACTTTCAACGACTGTGAAAGTTTAGATTTTTAGATGTTCAACTTAGGTGAGACACCCTGTATATATACACTGTGCTCCCTTCGTTTATATACATGTATACATATATAGTTAGAGTGTATGTAAGTTGGAACGGAGCTTTACGATACAAACGAACGGTCAATCTCTGAATTGAAATGAGATGAATTTTTACCAAGTATGATGATGATCATTTAATCGTTTGTCGTCTACCCTCTCGAAGAGAAGGAATTAAATGCGATGGAGTTTCCCAAGATTCGAGGATTGTTCGCGTATTGCGTAACGGGTTGCAATTTTTCTTTGACGATTTTTTATCCAGAGAGATGGGAGAAGCGAGTAGGTAATCGAGACGGACTAGTTGACAGGGCTCTAGAGAAAGTTTCGAGAGAACGTCGATGATGTACTTTCTTCCTTCGTTTCCTTTTTTCTTTTTGTTTTTTTTTTTTTTCTTTCATAATTTCGTTTCGTCCGTCCGGAACTCGAGAAAATTAAATGCGATTAAAAAAAAGAGCGAAATTAAAAAAAAGAAAATGGAGGTTCTCAACCCCTGATCTGTATGTGGGTGTTGTACCATGTAGGCGGTGTTCGCCAGCTGGATCCCAGAGATTACGGAGTTGGCGGCTAACCGCTGCAAATATGGCGGCCAGTACAAGCGCGAGCGTGGACGCAGGTATCCAAACAAAAAACAATTAAAAAAAAGAATAAGAAACCACAAGTATTGAATTAAAGAAAGCGAATTAAATCCGAAAACGAGAAACCAACCCGCAACCAAACCACCAGATTTATATACATACTGTATTATGTACAGATTAAACATATACAGGGTCTCCCACTTAAATTGAACGCCGAAATTGTTTATTCATGACGATGTTAATTACGATTGCTCGTTTGCTAGCTCTGCTCTGATGCGCGATCATCATGCGCGACTGCCTAATCTGTCTGCCTGGTTCACTTGGACCGTGTTTGGGGTGGGCTATACCGTTAAATTCAATTCAAATGGGACACCCTATGTATATTTATATACATACATATATTTCACCCTGGCTGGCGCACGATTACATATATCATGTAATGGTTTACATATAATTATTATAACAACAATTGTTCAGTAATGATGTTTGACAATTAATTAGCCACCCCGACCCAGCCCCCGACCGTGAAATGAAAGTTTCTTGCGACCTTTATTGCCCTTTATGAATACCCTCGTAGTTGCTTAGGAGAAAGATCGTTGTTCAATGTGTGGCGGCAGTATGCAATATCATGCAACGATTCATAACGATCATAACTTTACATCGATCCCCTCGATGGTAATCGTGACGATCGTCTTTTTGGAGTTGATCAGAAATCCGAACAACCGTTGATAACAGTCCACACGTCTGTTACGTACACGACGATTCGCAATGATCTACATAGAAAACGATGTATGCATCGGAGATACTTACGTGCATATCGATCGAATCTCAGAGTACTTAATTTACTTTTGTACGAACAACAGAGTAATTTACTGTCGTACGATCCATGATGATGTCTAATGATTCTCACTGCCGCCACTATTGGAGAAAAGACCACGCATTGACTACTCTTTAGAAATTAAATTACATATACTACATATCTAACTAAAGTATGGCATCCGAATTACTATTTTTCTTTTCAATTTA